TTCACCTATTATGGTCCAATATCCAAAATCTAAATACATGGTTAGATTCAGCATATCAAAGAACCCCAAGAATTCAATTTTTGATGAAATCAAACAAAGTTTAATTTTGGACCCTTTTGACCTCAATGTGGACAAAGTTGATAACGGGGCCCAAAAATCAAAAATCTAAATACATGGTTAGATTCAGCATATCAAAGAACCCCATATATTCAATTTTTGTTGATATCAAACAAAGTTTAATTTTGGACCCCGATTTGGACCAACTTGAAAACTGGGCCCATAATCAAAAATCTAAATACATGTTTAGATTCAGCATATCAAAGAACCCTAAGAATTCAATTTTTGTTAAAATCAAACTAAGTTTAATTTTGGACCCTTTGGACCTTAATGTAGACCAATTTGAAAACGGAACCAAAAATTAAGAATCTAAATACACGGTTAGATTCGGCATATCAAAGAACCCCAATAATTCAATTTTTGATGAAATCAAACAAAGTTTAATTTTGGACCCTTTTGACCTCAATGTGGACAAAGTTGATAACGGGGCCCAAAAATCAAAAATCTAAATACATGGTTAGATTCAGCATATCAAAGAACCCCATATATTCAATTTTTGTTGAAATCAAACAAAGTTTAATTTTGGACCCTGATTTGGACCAACTTGAAAACTGGGCCCATAATCAAAAATCTAAATACATGTTTAGATTCAGCATATCAAAGAACCCTAAGAATTCAATTTTTGTTAAAATCAAACTAAGTTTAATTTTGGACCCTTTGGACCTTAATGTAGACCAATTTGAAAACGGAACCAAAAATTAAGAATCTAAATACACGGTTAGATTCGGCATATCAAAGAACCCCAATAATTCAATTTTTGATGAAATCAAACAAAGTTTAATTTTGGACCCTTTTGACCTCAATGTGGACAAAGTTGATAACGGGGCCCAAAAATCAAAAATCTAAATACATGGTTAGATTCAGCATATCAAAGAACCCCATATATTCAATTTTTGTTGAAATCAAACAAAGTTTAATTTTGGACCCCGATTTGGACCAACTTGAAAACTGGGCCCATAATCAAAAATCTAAATACATGTTTAGATTCAGCATATCAAAGAACCCTAAGAATTCAATTTTTGTTAAAATCAAACTAAGTTTAATTTTGGACCCTTTGGACCTTAATGTAGACCAATTTGAAAACGGAACCAAAAATTAAGAATCTAAATACACGGTTAGATTCGGCATATCAAAGAACCCCAATAATTCAATTTTTGATGAAATCAAACAAAGTTTAATTTTGGACCCTTTTGACCTCAATGTGGACAAAGTTGATAACGGGGCCCAAAAATCAAAAATCTAAATACATGGTTAGATTCAGCATATCAAAGAACCCCATATATTCAATTTTTGTTGAAATCAAACAAAGTTTAATTTTGGACCCCGATTTGGACCAACTTGAAAACTGGGCCCATAATCAAAAATCTAAATACATGTTTAGATTCAGCATATCAAAGAACCCTAAGAATTCAATTTTTGTTAAAATCAAACTAAGTTTAATTTTGGACCCTTTGGACCTTAATGTAGACCAATTTGAAAACGGAACCAAAAATTAAGAATCTAAATACACGGTTAGATTCGGCATATCAAAGAACCCCAATAATTCAATTTTTGATGAAATCAAACAAAGTTTAATTTTGGACCCTTTTGACCTCAATGTGGACAAAGTTGATAACGGGGCCCAAAAATCAAAAATCTAAATACATGGTTAGATTCAGCATATCAAAGAACCCCATATATTCAATTTTTGTTGAAATCAAACAAAGTTTAATTTTGGACCCCGATTTGGACCAACTTGAAAACTGGGCCCATAATCAAAAATCTAAATACATGTTTAGATTCAGCATATCAAAGAACCCTAAGAATTCAATTTTTGTTAAAATCAAACTAAGTTTAATTTTGGACCCTTTGGACCTTAATGTAGACCAATTTGAAAACGGAACCAAAATTTAAGAATCTAAATACACAGTTAGATTCGGCATATCAAAGAACCCCAATAATTCAATTTTTGATGAAATCAAACAAAGTTTAATTTTGGACCCTTTGGACCTCAATGTGGACCAATTTAAAAACGGGGCCCAAAATCCAAAAACTAAATACACGGTTAGATTCAGCATATTAAAGAACCCCATGAAATCAAGAATAAAACCCCATTGAAATTGGTCAAGAAATAAGCAATTTATAGGAAGTATCTTCTTTTGCACAATCCTGTGCTATTAAATATTTCTTGCTATTGCGCAATACTGTACAATTGACAATTTCTTGCTATTGCGCAATATTGTGCTATTGGATATTTCTTGCTATTGCGCAATACTGTGCAATTGAAGATTTCTTGCTATTGCGCAATACTGTGCAATTGAAGATTTCTTGCTATTGTGCAATACTGTGCAATTGAAAATTTCTTGCTATTGCACAATACTTATTATATAATAATTTACACATCCTGTTTGGTGTGTATCTCCTACCATATCATTATTATTTGATTTCAAATATAAATCAGAAATAACCAACTTAAAATGGAAAATTTTAAAAGAAACAAAAAAGGAAAAAAAGAAAAAAAAGGAAAACAAAATAAATCCCCCCCCCCCAAATTTTTTGAACCCCCATTATGATTCATCACCCCCAAACTCAATCCCAGCCTTCCCTTTGTGGTATGGTACCTTGCAGTACAATTTCAGAGAGATCCATACACTTGAACACAAGTTATTGTCTGGAAACTAGAAAAAAATGTGTTTTTTGGCCCCTTTTTGGCCCCAAATTCCTAAACGTTTAGGGCAATTACCCCCAAACTCAAACCCAGCTTTCCCTTTGTGATATGGAACCTTGTAGTACAATTTCAGAAAGATCCATACACTTACACACAAGTTATTGTCATGAAACTAGAAAAATGCTTGTTTTTTGCCCCTTTTTTTGCCCCTAATTCCTAAAATTTGGAGGCAATTACCCCCAAAATCAATCCCAGCATTCCTTTAGTGATATGGAACGTTGTGGTACAATGTCAGAGAGATCCATACACTAACACACAAGTTATGTCTGGAAGTTACAAAAATGCTTATTTTTGGCCCCTTTTTGGCCCCTAATTCCTTTACTGTTATTACCATAACCCCCAAAATCAATCCCAACCTTCCTTTTGTGGTATTGAACCTTGTGGTAAAATTTCATAAAGATCCATTCACTTAAACTAAAGTTAGAGTGCGAAAACCAATGTGTCTTCGGACGACGCCAGACGACGCCGGACGACGACGACGACGCCGGACGACGACGACGCCGGACGACGACGACGCCAACGTCATACCAATATACGACCACAAAAATTTTTTTGCGGTCGTATAAAAAGGAAAGTCCCCAATCAAATGGCAAAATCAAAAGTTCAAACACATCAAACGAATGGATAACAACTGTCATATTCCTGACTTGGTACAGGCATTTTCTTATGTAGAAAATGGTGGATTGAACCTGGTTTTATAGCTAGCTTAACCTCTAACTTGTATGACAGTCGCATCAAATTCCATTATATTGACAACGATGCGTGAACAAAACAAACAGACACAATAGGTAAAAATGTCAAAAATAGGGGTACAGCAGTCAACATTGTGTTATCATCTTAATCACTATAAAAACAAACAAATGTAACGAAGAAGCACAAAAAGGCGTACATCAAATTTAACATCCTCATTTTGCTTATATATTTGCATATTTGTTTTTCGTTCATTGGTTTTTTACATAAACCAGGCTGTTAGTTTGCAGATTTGAATTGTTTTTCATTTGTAATTTGATGGCCTTTTATAGCTTACTATGCGGTTTGGGTTTTGCTCATTGTTGAAGGCCGTACGGTTACCTATAGTTGTTAACTTCTATGTCATTTGGTCTCTGGTGGAGAGTTGTCTCATTGGCAATCATACCACATCTTCTTATTTTTATATATATGGAAAAAAAACACATTCATTCATCTCACCTAATTATCGATTACCGGTATCGATACTGCAGATACAAAAGGATCTGTGATCCCGCTTGCTAAAAAACCCCAATTGTTTTGCTATCGTGTACAGCAGATTTTGTCTTGAGTTTCCAATTACTATTGCTATTCAATGGATTCTGTAATCGTTTACAGCATATGCTGAACTGTATTACCCATTGCATCTGCCGTATCGACAGCCGGTAACAGGTTGTGAATCATAGTCTAACATGGTAAAAGTTATTTGTGGTCATCTTGTCAAGCTTTTAAGTTATAATTGACTGAGTAAGATTTTAAAATGTTCATTTTCATGTTTTTTACCTGCTTTCATGTTAAATCTTATGTTACCTTTTAAGATCTGCGATCAATTGAGAACACCACGTCTACGAATATGCCTTCACATTTAAAACCAACTAACACAAAATAATTGAAATACATGTTTTTTCAGACACATATTCAAAAGATAAGTTATGTCATATAATATTTTCATTTCAACTTTATACCATTAGAGGTTCAAGCATTTTACCAAACTTAGTCTTTTTAGCATGTTAACAAGTAAACAATTCTAAAGTAAATAAAAAAATAAGAAGATGTGGTATAATAATTTGCCAATGAGACACTTCTCCGCCAGAGACCAAATGACGTAGAATTTATAAACTATAATAGTTCACCGCACGTCCTTCAACAATGAGCAAAGCCTTTAACGTAAATATGTTCCTAGATTGTACGTTATGTCGAATAAGTAACGTAGAAGTAATGGCACTTGTCAAGAAATGTGGTATGATTGCAAATGAGACAACTGTCCACCAAAACCAAACGACATAGGTATATGCACACGTGTAAATGTATTGGGATTTTTTGTTTGTTTAAAGGAAGGCAACTCTTATGGAATAAATATTCCACAACAATTACAAATGCATTTTACGTGTGCCAAGTAAATAAAGTGTGAGTTAATTCACTTTTAGAGGAACATCTAATAAGTGCCTACCTGGTCAATAATGCTTTCATTGTCGTCAATGTAACTTTGAAAATTAACAATTGTTTCCTTAGCATCCCACGTGGAGTAAATAGAACTACTGCTACGCTCATCTTCGTGTCTTTTTGAAACTGCCAACATATACCGTTTCCAAGAAACAGAAGCTTCATTACCTATATTTTCGGATACAAAGTTTGTTTCCTGGCTTCTAACTTGCAATTTAATTGCTTTGGGGTCCTTATACAGGGTTAAATGTTCTCTATTATAAAATATGAAAAAGCTGTCCGATTTAGAACAACTTTTAAAAAGTACTTGGTTTTCAGTCATTTTTAAGGTTCTTGTAAACTTAATCTGTTCATATTTTTCAAATGCTTTTATTACCCAATCACTGTTTTGAATTTTTGGTCCTATATCAAAGGTTTCAAAACGGTTTGTTCGACCAAAAACGTCTATGTCCACTTTGAAATGATAGGAGTGCTGGTGAATATTTGCCACTAGATGTTCATTCAATCTGAATCCATACCGGGTTTCCTCGGGACTATATATTGTCGGAAGAGGAAATCCCGAATACGAAGTTCTGACGTCCATTATACCATTTTTATGGAAGACAAAGTCTATAACGTGGTCATAATTAAATATTGCCAGGATTGTTCGTACGACCAACACAGTATCTTCTGTACCAGAATACGTAGTGGACGAGTAATGCCTCCTCAAAACCATGCCCGTTGGCTGCTCGAAAACACAGAACGAATTAGGAAAGATCTTTAATTCCAATCTTCCTGCAAACACATGTGAACTGTCTATAAAGGTAGACGTTTCGGGACAGTCAGCTCCGGGGACTAGTTCTCTTGCTTTTGTCCCTAGGAGGAATCCAGAGTATGTCATGTCAGAATACCGCATCCAACGTTTATATCCATTATGGAAAATTGAAATTTCTTGAAGACTCACTTCGTAAGCATATGTTACATCACGAAACTTTACATTAAACATTGATGGTCCTCTACTTGTTGACATCTGTATGTCAAAATTCCAACTATCATATTCGATATGATTGTTTCGGACAAAATATTTTACTGATGTATGTAATGAGTTTGATTTGTAAATATTGTGTCTATGAACATGTATAGCCTTTTTCTTCTTTGCTCTTTTTGTGTACGGAATGTAAGATTTTTGTGTTTTTCCTGCTAGATACTCGGCGGCTAGCTGCTCTGGAGAATCATACAGTTTACTTCCATACCATATATTTTCTAATCTATAAGCAGAACTATTACTTCCTGTCATATTGACCAACAAGAATAAATCAACCGGATACAATAGATAATCCTCAACATCATGATGTGTCCAGTACCAAACTAATCTGACATCTTTTCCGGAAACAGATGGTGCCATTGGAGAAAAATATTCTGCTTTAAGACAATGGTGTTGACAATCGAAAAAACTGGCTTCGTAGCTGTTTTGTAGTAGAAATCTGATATTGTATTCAACTATTTGCAGAATTTTGTTCATTACGGAATTGTCAAGCTCTGAGAATGGTCTGAATAGAAACGGAACACTTTTTTGGTAATGTTTTGAAACTAGAGTTCTATGGAATGTAATATTTCTGAGAGGACCAATTATATACTCCTCTACTCGCGGAGGTCGAAGATCGCCTCGGAACAACACAGTTCTAGCATGCCTGGGAGGAGAGTTTAGGTTTTTCTCTCTTAACGTTAAAATCTCAGATTTATTTGGTAGATAAACTTCGGTAAGGAAAACATAGCTCTTGTCCAGAGAAAACTGTGAATCATTACCAATATTAAATGCAGGTTGGTTTAATAAGTAGTTTCTTATTGCAGTAATTTCGTCGGTATTGAGATCACGGAAAGGGGAATGTTCTCCAGATTGAAAAGGAAGAAAATCCGGAAAGCTTTGTTCATTCCTGGATTGGTGTTTGAGAATCTCATAATAAATGACAACAGTAGCCATTCCAGCAATCACAAAGAAAGAAAACAACAATAGAAACAAAGCAAAACAGCGCCATTTTCTCGTTGGGTCTTCCTTTGTTTTCTGTGGAATTTTGTCCATCCTGTAAAGGATAAAACGAAAAACACAATTTACAGGACAGTTTGACGTAACTGAGTACAATGAATGTTGTTGTCTCAATATAACACATGAAATACACACAAGAACATGATATCAAAACACTTAAGCAAGAGAACCATGACCCCACGCAACAATCTGCAAATCAGATTACTAATATCATTGTTATACTATTCAGATAAAGCACTTCTTTCTGTATTATTGAAAATTCCGTAGCTTATTTATTCTTATTTACAGTAAAGTAACGTTTGATATACCCTGTTTTATCATTGAAATTATATCATTGACTATCAATAAATAACTGTTCATCTGATATAATATACTGCTAAAGAACATTGCATCAAAGCGCGGGGACTTAACTGCACATAGGATATAACTAACCCGGACATACGTCCTCTTCTTATATATGTTATATCCTATACTTACAAATAAAATGAAAAATATCATTAAAAATGGAACGAATAAGATAACATAGTGCGAATCACTTGCGAATGAATAGAAATAAGTTCTTACCTCAATATTGTCTTCAAGATTCACCTCGTTACAAAAAGATAATAAGATGTTATGTAGTGAGACGCATTTGTAACATAATAACATTATTTCATCAAAAGAAACAATATTATCTTTTCAGTTGTGATGTGTCTAAATCAACGGCCACCTGTTTCTTTTCACGATTTATTATTTATATCTGGAAAATAAAGATAGTTTTGAAAATTAAATTACTGATTTCACAAAAAGATTGACTGTTTTTACTTTTGCTGCGGATCTATATCATGTCCTCGAAAAGGTTAATAATCTTCATGCAAAATAACATAAGTTATTTCTGTTTGCACAGTTTGTGGTTTAAAGGTTACACCCTTGATTTAGAGCTAATTTTGTTTAAAACAGAATGCAACATAAACCATCGTAAATGTCCGTATTGTTTAACGAAATCAAAATAAAAACAACAGTTGTTGTAATATATTTCAAGTAACAGGAAAGCTACGTTATATTTTTTTTTTACCAAAGTGCCATTGAAAAACAGATAAAATATTGATTTCACAAGACTATAACAGCTGTGTTTAGACATCAGTTTGGTCAAGTCAAAGATGAGCCGATCGTACCGCGTTCTTCTGAAGTATCAGAACCTATCATGTCCAGTTCTGCATGCTACTAACTGACCATTTTGTACCACTTCTGGTTTTACTATCTGTATTAAATTATAGAAATTCAGTTTATACTTAAAATCAACTTGAACTGCCAATTTTCGAAAAATTACATGATTTATAACTGACATGTCTTAATTGTTGATACATTTAGAAATTATGAAGAAACTAAGGTGCCAGCGTCCATGCTGGAAAAGTGAAATCACCTTACTATGTGGAGTTTATTCTTTTTAGGTCCCTTTTGGTAATACAGCTGCTCAATCTTCCTTGGCTTTTAAATTTTTGGTTTTCGCGTTAATTCCCGATGACGATAAATGCAGAAAAGCTCCTCGGACGCACACACATAAAGTGTTATTTCCATTGATCTTCAGTGCTTTTACTTTCCCATGACTTTTAGACATTGAATTAATAATAAACTAAAAATAACTGAAAAAGCTTTGATGACATAATTTCAACATATAGATATTCACATTAACCGCCCCATTTTCTGCAATTTAGAACACTTATTGTATTTAATTTGATGTATACATAGGTTTCCTATCACCCCTATTAATGCAAAACAGGCTCTATACTTTTCTAGCGGACATGAGTGCAAAAGAAATGCGAATGTGGTTGTATAAGACCTAACTAAAAAAAATATGATGTTTTTGAGTTTCACAAACTACTTGATTTTTGTTCACAAAAGTTAAACATAAAAAAGGTAGTATATTTTGCATACATTGATATCGTTGCTACATGCACAGCGACTTGCACAGTGACTTCTTCGAAGATTGGTATGCAAGAACGTGTGCTATTAATAATTTCAGTACATGCATGTACTTATAAGTTATATAAACAGCTATAATTGTACTTTTCTTGATTAGGAACGCTTTACAAAATTTTACTACGAAAGATACGGTATTTCGTTCCCTAATGTTAATTCCCCATTTTTGAACGGTGATATTCCTTTGGTCCCATTTTGATGTGTATATTTCAAACTCGTCTCTATGTCCTTGTCTGAAGTGACATCATTTTAGATTTCAATGAAGTATTGTATGTATAACTGGTAAATCATTATGTCAGGTATTTCATTACCACAAATTACTTAATACCTGTACTAAATTCTTTCATAGATACAAAGATTTGGTTAAAAAGTTTGGTTGTTCTTGTAGAAACCTTATTGCAAACGGAATACCGCATTTACATGACCACATCCTAATTCTTTACAGGATATTGTTTATAGAGCCAGTAAATTTAGATACGATCCATGTAAATTTATTGATCCTTTAAATAAACTTATTCTTAAAGGTAACCAATTTAACAACAGTAGTAAGATCTTTGAATATGGCTTTGACGGTATCAAAGTCATTGTATTATATGTCTGGCGGTTAACTTAATGTTTAAAGATGTATTTATAAGTTGTGTTTGGCTTTGAACTAGCTTTCAGCAACTGCGACTACTCTTACGTGGTACTTTGTGTTTTCTGTCTTATTGCTGGTTGTTTTTTTTTTGTATTGTGTGCATCATGCCGATCTGCTGAGTCATGCCCTTTTCAACATATTCTTATTGGTTGTTCTTGTGTTGAGCTGTAACACCATTATCCTTAGGTTAGGGATGGGTTGAGTTAACGCAAAGTAGTTTATCCCCGCCACATTTTTTCTGTGCTTGTCCAAAGTCAGGAGCCAGTAATTCACCGGTTGTTGCTGTCGGCCATATTTGTTTTTCGTTTATTTTTTTTTAGCAGCAAGCAGGTCAACAGTTGGTTTTCTCGTTTTGTCATACCAGGCCTTTGTATAGCTTACTTATATACGGTATGGGGTTTGCTCATTTTTGACTTATAATTGCTTACATCGAAGTTTTTGATCTCTGGTCACTAGTTGTCCCACATCTCCTTATCTTTCTATGTATAAACCGCTACGCATGTACAAAAACCTATATCCAGAACTTGTGTTAGTTCCTAATTAACCACTTGGGAATGTGTGATACTCGCATAAGAGAAACTTGATGTGAAGTTTACGCCAAAGAGACAGCAAGCCAACAAGACCATAAACAACAATACACATAGAGGTTAACTTACAATATTCAACAAAAGACAAAAGTAAAATCTATAAAGCTCTAAATCGCCCTATAAAATTTTGTGAATGAATTTGACTATCAAAGATCTTCCATTAACACCATTTCCTCAAAATAACAGAAAACCATATTAAAAATATAACCAAAGACCATCAATGCAGAGGTTTCTGACTTAGGACAGGCATATTCTTAAAGATAGAAATAGCTACCGGTAGCTATTAGCAAACATGTGTCAATTATATTACTATTGATCTTCCCATTATATACACACTTCTTTGTTAATCGTATTAATGTTACCCATCACCAACTGAACCCAGTTGTCAGATTGAAATAAATTTGAAAAATTTAGAAAATGTTTGGAACAACTTATGTAATATTTGATTATGAAGATACAATCCTAGTGTAAGAGATTTTCAAATCAAATCAAAGGTAAATAAAGTATTATAAAAAAAAGTACGAAGTTACCAAAAGGTCAAATCAGTCAAAACATCACCTTTGGAAAATAAGAAGACAACAGTCCATGACGCATTAGACAGAAAATAAAATATTGAGGAACACGAGCCCAAACAAAACCGTGAATAAACTCAGGTAGCAAGAACAAGGTCGTTTTTCATCCTTGAAATTGTTATTATTTGAACTGGGAAATATTATAATAAGAAAACTTAAATGGTGGAAAATGTCTGGGATAACACATCGAATACCCCTTTTTGTCCTTTATACAGAAAAAAAGATATGATCACATTTGAAGTATCATGACTGTTTGTCATTTGGTCGTTTTTCGTTTTTATTGTCATGACATTGTCAGTTTGTTTTCGACTTACTTTGGATTCATTAATTTTCGTGGATTGAGGAAAACTCATTTTCGTGGATGCTTATTTCGTGGTTTTGTCTATGTCTGCATAGAAACCTATAGAAGAGTAGTAATTCCCTTAATTAAATTCGTGGTTCACCTGTACCCACGAAAATTGGTATCAAACGAATAACAATGAATCCACAGTATGACTTTGAGTATCCCTTTAGTATCTTTCGCCTCTGTTGAGGATATATTATAAACTACTCAAAGGTTCGACAAAAAGCTATTTCTGACCCTCAAGAGATATAGATCTTGAATATTACAATTTGGCTTCTTTACATTTTACCATGACTTTTTCACTTTTAGTATAAAAATTGCTCTGACCATAGATGTAATACATCTATGCTCTGACACATGTAATGTAAACCCTAACGTAATATATGGGAGATAAGGTTGGCTTGCAGGTTATATAATTTCCTCTGTGACAATATAAAAATGTAGTTAATTAAAGTAAAAGGGTACATCGGAGGCATGATGTATTAAATTATGTTATGATGAAATAAATAATTCCAATTTTTAGCATTTTGTCATTTTCACATACTTTACTGATTCGGAGATATACGAGTGCATGTAAGAACGAACAAGACAATGTACTGCAGGGTCTGTAAGAATAAATATTTAAGGTGGTACCTAACACTACAGGGAGATAACTCTGTAAAAATCAACTAAACGTTTTAATCACGTTGTATTGTTAAGGAAATATTAAGCTTCTCAATGATCAAAATTAGTGTTTGTCAAACTGCTATATAACCAGTGAAATTTTTCTGATAAAGTGGTTGGTTCAAATTATTTGAAATTTTTATATTTTTGTCAAAGGGTCAAAGTAAACATTTTGTCAAAATTTTAGGAAAATTAAACGAGCCAAATTAATATTAGTCAAGGTGTTGGGTACCACCTTAAGTGCCAATCTGCCAAAGAATCAAGCAGCGGTGTAAACATGACAAACAAAAACCTGTTCAATTTTACATTAATTTTAGTATAAAATGTATAATGGTGCACGAATTTAACATTTGTTTGATTTTCCTGTTGATATAATTTTGTTGAAGTGCACTAGAAATTACCAATTAAGGGGAGCTAACTCCGTAATTTGTTATCATTCTAACCAAAAGTTATCTAGAGATTTCTCGAATTACCAGACACGCATAGTGAAAGACCTTCTGTTTCTAACTCAGGATGAGGGTCACCGGGTTTTTTCGGCCATGTTTTGTGAAACGCTGCTAAATTGCCTGATTCTTACAAAGACTGGTACTCATGTACGTATGAAAGAACTTACAGCTGATCTACTATTACAATTGTGTAATAATAGTCTCAGTTTACAGTAACAGTAAATCTTTGCTAATTTTGGCGCAGTTACTCTGGATGGGCCTATTGGATCCCATTGCAAATAGATATTAGCTGTACATGTCCAAACCCCCTAATTGAAAATATCTACGAGTAGGCTAAACAAAGATCGAAAGGTCACTAAGATGTCTGGACAGATCCTTAAATTGAACAATTTATTTTCATTATTTGCTTTCATTGCATCTATGGTATTCTAAATTGTATTTTCATCCCGTGTTTGATAAAGTGAAAGATAAGTGTTTAACATCCAATGGCTAATATTACATGTATAACCAGGCATATATCATGATATGTTAATTGAACAAAAAATTCTTTATACTAGATCAAAACACTGATTCAAATTGAGATGTGATAGTTAACATGATTTATTGATTGTTGTTGTTTAACACCACTTTCAGCAAATATGGCTGTATCATGAAGGCCAGTTTTTATTGTTGAAGGAAGCTGGAGTACCTTCAGCAGGAGAACTTGTGCTTCCTCTTCCATTAAGATCTAGGATGAACAAACCTTGCCATTAGAAGGTTTGAACTTATAGCTTCATCCTGACAGGCTTGTGATTACTGTAGATGAACTATTTAGACCAACCTAACCATACCCATTATTCTTTTTAAGTGCATCAGTCATTGCTGCTATTACTGAATGGTGCATGCAGAGAAGCAGTTTATACCAGTTTTAGTCTTTAGTTTGACTCTGCATGACCAACTGAAGTTGAGGTGTAACACTCTACCACAAAATCATCAAGGTGGTTTTTGAACTGACCAACAAAAAATATAAACAATTGTGTATATATATACTTTTTTTTTATTTATGTTCTACTAATACATAATATCCACTTTTCTCCATATTGTGAAATATATAGAATCTGTCTTACAAAGACAATGTCTTTTATTTACAGTGAGTTACAGACATTTCTAAAAAGCAATTTTGATGTATTTAATACATGATTTGTGAACTGTAGTGTGAATGTATGAATATAATCTATATCAAATACCAAGGCTTTGAATAATTTTTACTAACTAATCCATTATTTTCCCAATTCATATCAAAAATCATAAAGGAGGATTTTCAAATTACACTTTGAGAGGTTTCCTGCTCAAAAGAAGATTTCATATGAGAGCTTAGACATACCAATTCATCATGATCAATGTCAAAATTAAATAAACTGCTAACTGACATTGTTATCTGTTAGAGACATTTAAAATGATAAAATTAAATCCTTTATCAATCTGAAGCAGGAATAGAGATTTTGTAAAAAATCACATTAAACCTTTACTTTTAAAAAAGTTTCGAAACATTAAAAGTAAAGAGTTTATCAAAGCTACTATTTCAATTTATATTAGATGAATTTGTTTTAATAAAGAATATCACACAAATTTTTTTAACAAATAACAGAGGCATAAAAGAATTTTTCTATAACAGTAACATTTGTAAAATAACAAAGTAGAACACATCTGGAAAATTAGTATGTTTTAATATAATCTAATCAAATTGTGGAAATTAGGACACATTATCTCCCTTTATAATCTTGAAGGTCATAGCAAAAAAGTTAGACATACTCAAAATTGTTTTAAATATAGAAGAGTTAAGTTGTTTACAGTTAATCAAATTAAATTCGATTATGAATGTACTTAGTCTCTGATAAAAGAGAGAGAGAGAGAGAACTTCTTTTGTCCAGTAATCAGCAACCTTAAAAAACATTTATCTAAAACAGGTACGCAACCCTGTTTTCAATCATTTGCCATTTTATTTGAAAGAAAATGTTGCTGCATACAGCTATAGATTTGCCAGGTAAAAACTAAGTATCTTTCAATCTTATAGACATCTTATCCCTGTTAGTAAAGTAATAAATCTGTACATAAGTATGCTCTGAATAAAAACCAAATAATCAAACAGACCTAAATATGGCAACAGTGAATTAACAATGCATTTGTTTCTTAACTACCAATGAATGAAATATAACAGAATGACACTAAAACATACTAACAAATTATAAAATATAACTCATAACAGCTGCAGTAAATAATAAAGTGGTGCAATAACAACTCTTATAAATAACAACGGTGAATAGATTAATAAGTAAAAATCACAGACAACATGAAAGGACGGATTATATCTTTGTTTAGAAAGCACTTTTTCTTTACACTCAGTTTTTTATCTTTAGCTATTGACAGGTAATAATCAAATATTAAAAAACACTTTTTGAGATATAAATCTGCGGAAATTTTTCAAAACTTAATGGCAGCATACAGCTAAATGAAAGATCACCTTAGTCATTTTCTATTTATAGTCCTCACTAATTAAAATCAAAGTTAAGGAAGATAAAGCCCCATTATAAAATAAATTTCATTTCTCAAACCACTGAAATATTAAAATGTAAAAAAAATCGAAAGTGTTTATATAATACTAATGATGTCAAAAAGTGTTTATATAATACTAATGATGTCAAAAGAAATTAAAATGAATGAAGACTGTAATTTTCTAAAAATAGAAATCTTTTGCAAATATCTGTTTTCCCATGGCAAGCTTATCTACATGTATTACATAATTATCTACATCAGAAATTAATGTGCTTTCATAAATCATAATATATATTTTGGCACATCACTAACTAAGACTCTAAATCCATTTAGCAAATATTTTCCAAATAAATAATCTACAATTAAAGTCATGACCTTTTATAAATGATTGACCAAATCAAATTTTTTGCTTTAGTCTTTGTAAACTACTTAGTTTAGTCTTGTGTCCTGATACTTGATAGTTGGACCAATAAGAATGTCCAGACAGTGACTTTCCACAAGGCTAAACAATTCTGAATTGGTTAACTATGAAAAGTATCATACAGTAAGAAAAGGGGGCAGATACAAACTACTTGTACCATGATGCCATTTAATTTAATCATTGGATATCCTGCATCTATCATGCTTAACTTGAAATAAAGGTTAAATTGACGGAAGACCACCCTTCTATTCATTGTAAGCTATCATTTTGCACTAACTGTAATATCATGGTTTAAACCCCTCTCGTTGGTGTATCTATTACATTTTTTGTTTTAAATATTTGTTTAATCAAAAAAAAAAACATGATTTATTTATCCCCCTAAATAAATATACTTTATAACGGGAATGCCACTAATAAATCCTATATTAAAGTTCATTTATTTTCCTCACTTTGAAAGAAGTTCTAATGGAAATAAAAGTTGACTAATGTTTCTTCCAATCGTAGTGCACCAACATATATAGCACATAGTCAATCATTCAGTTAAAAAGAACTACACCTTATTTACTAGTGCCATAGTGCTATGCTACTGGTGCAAACACAAGTTAACCATTACCTCAGAAAAGCATCATCCAAATATAGACCTGATTCAACCAAAACTTACATTTTCATGTTTAAGAAATGTAAGTTTCATCTTATCGGTCCATAGACTCAATAATACAGAATATTGCAAAGTTAACAATGGCACTATAAGAATAAATAAACAATAGCAAAACGAGTATTATAAAAAAAAAGACACTTCTATACACAAGAAATCTTAAAGCCAATTTTCACTCTATAAATGATATTATAATTTGGAGATACAACCCTCAACATCTTCTTCATATTTTCACTTAAGTGCCAAAAACTCCACTTTTGTTGTAACTTATTTTAACATTAGTAGAAAACTTAACCAAGCTTTGAAATTCTTATTTTCTTAAAATTTAAAAAGATATAAAAAGAAAATACAACAAATCATGATTTTTTCTGTGATAAATAAACAACCTGAGTGAAACTATAAAAATATCTAAAGTATACAATATGGAATGTACTCTGATACAGGAAACATCTTCCCATCACAAAAATTCTTTTAGATTCACCTATCATCATAGTATCATGTTATGTAATAATGTTCAGCAGCATTTCTTTATAAAAATATAGTCTATATCACAGACATAAGAAAGATATTTGAATGTTAAGCTACAGCCATCGGTGTGCGTGCAGACATGGGTAATTTCTGTATCGTAGACATCACAGGTACATTATGCCTTTCACACACGATAACTCTGTTAGCTGGTATATGTGGATCATGACATGGACAAAGTGGCATTTGCTTTTTGGTATAATCAGTTCTGTACATTGTACCATCTTCAAATCTAGCATTGCTCTGGAATGCTTGGTTATCGGGACGGAATGACTGGGCAGGATGAACACCATGAGGAACATAGTGAGCCTTGTATGTGGGCATGCCTTCAAATGGAGCATTATTAGGTTGATATTCGTCTCTTTGGTGAGGCTGATTTCTCTGTAATGCCCATTGCTTATAATCTTGAGCATAATTAGTTGTACCATCAAATGGAGCATTTCTTGCTTTGCCAGCAGATGTTGGTCTCATTGCAAGATTTTTCGTTAATGGTAGTTGTTTGTATGTAGCGTTATGAGTTGTTTGTGTGTACATTTCACCTTCGGGTTTTTGGTATGCGTCATGTTGATGTACATATGGTCTATCCATTGGCCACTTAATGTAATCTTTACGATTTGTTGTTGTATCTTCCAATGGTTGGCCAGATGAGAAAGCAGCATTATCAGGTTTAAAGCTTCTTGTTGGTTGTCCATGTTGACCTTTGTAGTCTCGTCTAAAGGTTGTAAGGTCGTCCAGAGGTGCTGATGATGGTTTGTATCCCTCTCGTTCATGTAGGTGTTTGGCAGGGAGAGGATGTTTTTTGTATTCAGCACGATAGTCTGTCATGTCGGCAAATGGTTGGTCTGATCCGATCGTAGCTTCCATTGGTCTTAATGGTTCACGTCTGGCCTGATTATATTTACGGAAATCATGATGCATGGTACTCTCACCTTCAAATCTTTGTGTTGGAGCCTGATATGAATCTCTCAAACCATAAGGTTGTTGTCGGCTGGCATCCCATTTTTTGTAGTCAGCTTTAAAATAAAAGATGACTTTTTTAATTTTTTATGAAGATATGCTTTATTTTTATATATTAAATTTTTGCCATTATAATGAAAGTAAAGATATTGTGGGACCATTCTCAATGAAAACCAAAGTACAAGAAAGTAAACATCCCACAGTCATTCAAATCAATATCATTTAACAATGTCTGTCATATTGTTTTTTGTAAATTGAATTGTTATAGATTAGGCCACTAGTTTTCACGTTTGAATTGTTTCACAATTTTCATGTTCAAGCATTTCAAGCAGCCTATACAGTATGTGTTTTTCTCATTGTTGAAGGTCATACTGTGACCTGTAATTGCTTATCCACTTCATTTGAACTCTGGTGGATATATACATAGTCGTGTCATTGGCAACCATACCACATCTCCTGATTTTTATAATCTATCATTTATTTTAATTTATTATTTCAATAGAAATCGGTACCTCTATATGTTGGTTCCCCTTCAAATCTACCACCTGGTAGTCTCTGGCCATCATGTTTTATAGCATGAACTCGTTCTGGGTGTTTTTCTAAAAAATAAAAATATAGGATTTAGTTTTAGAAATCATTTAAAAAAATAAGTGCAAATTTTATCTAGATCTAATTAAGACTAAGAACTGTCAGCAGCTATGCAAATTAATACCCATCCCCCGTCCCCACTGAAATATAAATATACAATTATATTTGGTACTGATTTTTTATTGAAAGAAGTGGACCAGACACATTAAGTACAGAAGGAAGATTGATAATATAGTGTTGCCTGCTTAACATACAGTGGCAATTCCATGCATATTCAGGTCAATGTAGATGAACAAATAAATAGACATTATCATTAATATACAAAACAACTAAGCATCAAAAATAGGGGAGATGTGTTAACTATGAAGAAATGTACACAACCATTAGAGTTTATATATTGATAATTTCAGATAAAAATCATAATACCTAATGTGGGAAAACCTCAGTTAATATAGATAATACCTTATTTATACCCATTTTACAGGTCTATACTATGAATTGTGAATTCAGCAAAATCAAAATTTTATGTTCTCTTGGACAGATTTTATCAACCTTTATTTTAAAAATTATCTGAGTTTTAAAAAATAAACTGTTGACACAGAGATATGTCTCGCCTATCGGCATTAAATTCAGAAAAAGACAATATGATGGACAGTAACATTGCTTATTAATTCAGTCACTGGACCATGATCTAGTGGGCAGGGCCTGAAAATGGTTGACAAACTGAGATGTACAGACAGTAATGTAATTTTATAGTAAATATTGTTGTTTATTGTAAGTAGTTCCTATCAATATAACTTAAGCAGAAAAACTTAAAATTGAAAATTTCTCATTAATTCAAAGTCACTGGACCATGACCTATGGGGCAGGGCCTCAAAATAGTCATCAAACTGATAGTAATGCAACTTCATACAAAATATCATAGATCTATCACAAGTCAGTTCTTATCAAACTGACTTAAGAAGAATAACTTAACATTGAAAATTGCTACCGGTAATTAATTCAGTCACTGGACCATGTCCTAGGGGAAGGGCCTCGAAATAGTTATCAAACTGATATGTACTAATAGTAATGCGACTTCATACAAAATATCATTGATCTATCACAAGTAGATTCTATCAAACTAAGTTAAGCAGAAAACTTAACATTGAAAATTGCTAATTAATTCAGTCACTGGACCATGTCCTAGGGGCAGGGCCTCAAAATAGTCGTCAAACTGATATGTACTAATAGTAATGCGACTTCATACAAAATATCATTGATCTATCACAAGTAGATCCTATCAAACTAACTTAAGCAGAAAACTTAACATTGAAAATTGCTAATTAATTCAAAGTCACTGGACCATGTCCTAGGGGGCAGGGGCTCAAAATAGTCGTCAAGATGATATGTAGTGTAATGCAACTTTAAATGATCTATGACAATTAGTTCCTATCAAGCTAACTTAAGCAGAAAACTTATGTTATTTATATGGGTGTAGTACAGTATTAATAGGGAATTATCTGTCATGTATCTAATAAATCAGCTAATGTGGGTTGTAAATGTTATTTTTATTTAGTCTCTTGGTTTCCTTTATGCAATAAGTAATTATTACTTTCCTTTACTAAATGAAAAAGTTGTTTAAACTAAAAGTTAAAATCAAATAAAAAATAAAGAGGATAAATTGTTATGATTTCGATTATTATTTGGGACTGAGCCTTTCTGGTTCTAAAGTTTATATTTTCCTGCAGGTGGTAAATATTGTATATTCTGTTCTCTGTCTTTAAAAAAAAAATTAAAACAGTAAGATATTGTCAATACAAACTTTTAAAAATATTTTTTATCATTTTGAGTTATCTCCCTTTTTCACCAATAGCAACATCATCAATATATCAATATTTACCCAAATCTGATCAACAAAGTAACATTGTTAAGTGCAAGTTAGTCTTTTTCATTCAGCCATTTAAATTTGTAAATCAGTTCAAATTTGTTGTGTCAATATAAATCTATATATCATTTATTAAAAAAACCATGAGGTGTATAGGAAAAAGAGAAATTCAAATACTACAACAATGATCTTAAGAAAACGTTGAGTAAATCAATCCTAGTGGAATTTCTTTGTACCTTATATCATTAGTCTATGATCAGAATTCAAGAGTTTGACCTCGGACATTGATAAGTACTTGTCATATTCAACAAATGAACAAAAGTCATAGTCAATATACATTTCAATGAAAATTAATGGGGCAGATTTAATCTACAAAATTCTGTCATATTTCAATATCTATGTAGAAATATCCACTGACAACAACAGGAGAGATTTCCAAAATAATTTAAGCTGACATGTAAATATATTAAAGGAACGGCTTTATTTTGCATGATCCAAGAACAAACAGAGATACCAAAATAACAATTTAATTTAAATATATAGGAAACAAGAACAAATTGCAACTTCAACATAAGTTAACATAGTCTCTTGATGCTTTAAATCATTATCCTCTTTATTTTAATAATTTGGATAAAGAGAACTGAGCTATATAACAAAGTGACTAGATCTTATATTCAATAGAAATGGTCGAACCAAGATTTACAACATATAAATTGTAAAGGAATATAGTATTAAACAAAAATGTTAAACTGATCTTTTAAGGATATATTTAATATTGAACTGGAAGAAGTTACATTTAGTTATTATTTTAATTTTGGGAATTCACAGGAAATCACAAATCACACATCACCATCTGACATTTATATACTTGTCAAATCAACTCAACCTATAAGAAAACTTACTGAACAAAAACTGGCAGCACCTAAAGAGTTACTTCAACAATACGGTCAATCAAAGAACTTCCACAAAATCAGAATGGTATTTAGAGTTTAATATAAATGGTTACTCGAAGGAGAGGGCCATTGTTCAGGCTTGTTTTAAAACTGAATAATCAATCAAAAAGGAAATAATTTCAACCAGAGATGCAGTGTTTTAAAGTATATAAATTCAGTATATATCTCAGAAGATTTAAAATTTATTTGATTTTAGGGCCGATTTGACACCAACATCTTTTTGGTTTTAAATCAAAAACGGTTATGTTATTTAGACAAAACCCGTAATCAGTGTAATAAATTTAAGGAAAGTAAAATTTCTCAATAAGTATTCAGCTTGCACAAAAATTTGCATAAGTAAAAGCTTAAACAATATATCTAATGTATCAAGATTAAGTTTTAATAGTGACTGTTGACAAAGACGTACATGTCTTCTGAACTTAAAATAATTTCTATTCTAATCTCCCTGTTTCTTGCACGTTCTTACGATATTTTACTTGTTAACGTAAAGATTGTTGTAACGGGTTGAAGTATTTTCCCCGTCTTAAAAGCACTTAAGGAAAAAAATACTTCATGTTACTAGGATATATAACACAACAGATCTTGAAATCAATTCTTCTGACTTCGGCCCAGATTATATACATTGATGTTTTAATTTATAAGGATACCTGATTCTTGTTTTATTGATTTCACTGCTGGATTTCATGAAACATTCATATTAAAATTTTAAAATCATTTGAAACTAACCATATCAGTGAAAAACATCTTATTATTATGGCAATGTTTTGTCAAAGGAACTGATATCCTATCATAACATTAAAGCACTTTGTATATTGAAATTCAATTGCTGAATATGAAAAATTGTGGATAAAAAATGAATTTGATATGATTCTTTAAATATTTTATATCAATATATATAATACAGCCACAAGATAAATAAATGTGTTTCCAAAGTTGAACATGTTATCAATTGAAAGGATATTCCAGCAAGCCACAAACCATTTGATTGTTAGAAAGGGGGAAAAAATTTGTAAGGCTTCCGCGGAACCCAGCGTCTCGCCTACTTTTGCTGTTGTCTATGTTTTCAGTGTGATAGGGGAATGCACATAATAGATACAGTTAATGAAATGGTTTATGAATCTAATAAATGTTTTTAAAACTTTAACTGCAGACTGTATGTAATGTTAACTGGAAGAAAAATTAAGTCCATTTATAAGTAATATACGGAATAACAGGAAATAAAGTTTTACAAAATTTCCTTCTAGATACTAGCTTTTGATCATAAACAAGCTTCTGTCCAAGTTTGGTACAAATCCAGGATAGTTTAAGAAAGTTATTAAAATTTTTAAAACTTTAACCACAGAGTGTATGTAATGTTAACTGGCAGAAAAACTAAGTCCATTTATAAGTAAAATACGGATAATCAGGATTTTTTTTTAACAAAATTTACTTTTAGATACTATCTTATGATCATAAACAAGCTTCTGTCCAAGTTTGGTAGAAATCCAGGATAGTTTAAGAAAGTTATTAAAATTTCAAAAACTTTAACCACAGAGTGAATGTAATGTTAACTGGCAGAAAAACTAAGTCCATTTATAAGTACTATACAGAAAAACAGGATTTTTTTTTTACAAAATTTACTTCTGGATACTATCTTATGATCATAAACAAGCTTCTGTCCAAGTTTGGTAGAAATCCAGGATAGTTTAAGAAAGTTATTAAAATTTCAAAAACTTTAACCATAGAGTGAATATTTGTAGACGCCGCCGACGGAATGTAGGATCGCTATGTCTCGCTTTTGCGACAAAAGTCACAGGCTCCACAACAACCATTTTATTGTGAGAAAAGGGGGGAAAAGAAATGCAAAATATTGCATGATAAAAAATATAGCATGATAATAAACAAAATATTGCATGATGATAAATAAAATATTGTATGATGATAAATAAAATATTGTATGATGATAAATAAAATATTGTATGATGATAAATAAAATATTGTATGATGATAAAGTTTAAAAACAATGCATCAGAAAAGAGTTGTTATTTTAAAAGAGTCAACTTCAAATAATGAACAACCTCAGGTAGAAAAGTGAATGATTTACAAATAGCATGTAAATTTCCCCTACTGTCCCATACTTTAAATTGTTTCAATTTAACATGTATAAGGCTTCTTTTTACACGAGAAAATGTGATATCAAAACACAGATATTTTAAATAATATTCATATTCTTGGGGTAAAAAAACAAGATTATTGGAAGAGAGCCATTAAACCAACATACTGATAAAACCTGGTCTGTAAGTTAGACAATACATACACTCAGAAACCTCTTATATTTTAAACATCATTTATAATGAGGATAATTACTAATCATTCACCAATTGCCTTGTGTGTAATTACATTTTGTTTGCTTGTCTCAATAGATGCTGCAATTACTAAAGATTCTGGTCTAAGGGGAGAAAATATAATTAGAAAACTTCGCTGTATCAGTTTTATACTAAAACCATCTCATTGTCATAATATTTATATCATGCAAGACTAGGCAATTTGAAATTTCTGTAATTAATAAAAAAAAACTGGTTGATACAAAGTCAACTTAAACATTAATAAAAAGTAAATCAGGTACTACATTTGCATGAAAGCAGTTTTTTTAATATCAATTTTAACCCAAACATTGAATAAAGAAATAGTTGAGTGTTTCAATTTGGAATAAAATTTGGAGATCTCTTTTTTTTCCAGTAATGTTTTTTATTTTGTTGGACAAAATGTAAAAGCATTGAAATCCTTAAAGTGTTTTAACATTTTGATTACCGGTATCCTAAAAATGAAACATTTTAATATATTCAGTAACCTAGAAATGACAATGAACTTTGAAGTTGAAAAAAAGTAAAAACAAAACAGAAAGAAAAAAAGACAGCTTAATTCTAAAAGCATAAAAGCAAGGAAACAGTAACAGATTTTCAGTTTTTAATATTTAGAACCAACCAACCTGTATATTCCTTCTTATAAGATGTCATGTCGTCCATATTGCCTTCTGGTCTTTTATATATCTCAGCCTGTCTGACAAAGGGCTTCTCAATAGGATGTGGTACATAATCTTGTCTGAATATGAAAAGAAATATTTCATGAAATAAAAAAGGGGGAGGGTTAAGCACTCAATACATTAATTATATCCTGCCATATATTTATATGACATTCCCATATACATAATTAATTTAATCATTAGATTATTCTGTCTCTTTATGATTTTTGGACTTGGAATTTTGTATTGATGTGAGATCTTTTGTCATTTCTACCAGAGACATATCATACAAACTTTATTATTGATATGTCTCTGTTTCTACTGAATTAATCAACAACTTGACCAGGCTCTTTGTGATTCGAGAGCTAGCCATATAGTCTTGATTCCTTACTATTCATTAGGAACCAATTGTCCTGGATTTGTGGGTTTCTTGGGAATTATAAGATGAACCCTGAATTTACAAGAAGTATAAATTTTTCATAGGACTGTCATGCAAACCTTTGACAAAACTACAGAATCATTAGTATCCAAGAATATATATGTTTTCAATTCATGAAAATTGGTACACACTAAATTAAATTCATAATAGACTGAAAGCATTGCCAAAAGTTGAAAATCATTAGGATGCCCAATTTTGATAAATCTGTCGTCGTTATCCTTTTCACACATACAATGTATGTACCTCACAATTCTTTTTGTTCATGTTAATAAAAATAATGTTACTTTTTTAAAATGATTCGGCTGCCTATAAAAAAGGTCTCAATTGAGCACCAAGAAAGTGTCCACTAAAATATTAAGAATTCAGAGCAAGTAATGGCTTCACATGCAAAAACTACAGGTAATAAAAAGAAGATGTCAGAACACTATGCATCAATGAGAGAACAACCCAACAGCAGAGAAAAAACCAAAGGAATCTAGAGGTCAACATACTGCCTTCAACAATATACAGGTATCAAAACAATATATCTAGCTAGCTATAAAATCAAATTGTTCTAAGTAAAAAAAAATGTGAATAAATTAAACAGACACTATTAAAACCATGCTACCAATGCCAAATTCTCCAAATAACATACATATAAATAAAATGTTAATCAAAATCTTGAAGAATTTATAAAGACTCCCTTGAAAAAGTATTTTCTACATGATTTGAATGTTTGTTCCAATGTTGAACTTACATTCAGATGAACAATTTTATGGACACAGGAGGTCATTAAGAAGGGTCAATTAAAAACAAATAAACAAAGCCAGATAATAAAAGCAGCGTTTCTAAAGAATGTAAAGAGATAAAATCTTGTAAGGAAAAAAAAACAACAAACAAGATATTTTTAACAAATGAGTTTTTCTCATGAGCATTGTCTTTTCTGACATCAAGGTAAAGCTAATCTCTAGTAGGACGAGATTATTTTTGTCTGGAATGAATACAGATAATCAATTAAGTAGCAAAAGAAGAAGAATGTACAACAATCCAAAAAGGTTAAAATATAACAAAACAAAACAAAAATCTATATTTTACATGTACAACAAATATTCTATGACGGATTCAAGTGAAGCAAATATATCCTGAATCAAATACATATATCAGTAGGAAGCTGTACAAAAAGACATTTGAACTGTATAAAAGCATTTATATATCTGGTAAAAATATGACATTACATTAGAGTTTTAACTGTCACATCCTTTGATAAAATACTTTTAAATACATTTCACTGAATACATCAAACTTTTCTGTGTGATATGATGTGAAAATGTAATCTAAGTAGCACATAACTAAGATCTTTCCAATTTTCATTAAATTTGAACGACTTTAATATAGCCAAAAATCTTTACTGTATATAAATGTTATTGTTTAAATCAAAACTTGGATAATTGACTTCTACAAATTCTAATATTATTTAAATAGTTTACATAGTAATTTGCAGCCTATGGGTTTATACACTGATTTACCTTATTTATTTCAAAATTACAGTTAAATTTAATACTACTGTAGACCGGATCTGACTTGGATAATGAGCTGTTCTGAATAATATAAATTTGTCCAACTGAGTGATTTGATTTGATTTTTTGTGTTTTAACGCCACTTTTAAGCACCGCTTTTGGGCTATGTCGTGGTGGCCAGTTTTATTGGTGGAGGAAGCCGGAGTGCCCGGAGAAAACCACCGACCTACGATAGGAAATCAAACTGAGTGAAGAAACACTTCATACAAATACACAAAATATTAACTAGAGGAATATACATACAAAACTCTCAAAAACTAGAAACAATTTGATCATACCTCACCTTGGCAAGGACTTACTCAAATAATATAATGTATAGGTCTTTCAAAAACAAGAATAGTTAGATCATACTTACCCTTGCATATGCATTTTAAAACAGAAAACAGTTTTATTATACTTACCTTTGCCTAAGACTTTACCAATCATAGAATCCTAGCTTCTTCATACAAACCATTTTTAGGACTAATTTTCATGAAGAAAATACAGCAATGTACTATATTCTTGATTTTTTATGCCCAATGTAACAGCCATAATCTAGGTTTTTTTGAAAAAAAAACTGGCAAGATCTAGGATTTTTATATAAATACATAACCATAAGAACTGCTTAGTCTTAGACTTTCATAACAAGACGAACAAATTACAGTCACAGTCTAGGACATGAGGATCAGTTCCAATTTACATGTAGTACTTATGTTTGCTTTGTTTTTCTTTAATTTATCTTTCTATTTCTTACAAATAGAGACCTACAACATCGTACTAACCCTCGCCTAGGACTTTTACCAATCACAGGAACGGCTTTATCATAGGCAACTTTATCATAAACCATCCATTTAGCAGCCTCTTGACGCTTATTTTCCCTTTCACGAATCCTAGTTACACTTTCCTCATCAAGTTTTGTATAAAATTCCTGATCTCGAGGAGAATTTTGTGCCATTTCTTGCTGTGTATATCCAGTATTATTTTGTTTACTAACAGACACTGCTTTATCATCACCTCTTTTATCATAAATCATCCATTTTGCATCCTCTTTACGTCGACTTTCCCGGTCGTCTATTCTCCTTATATTTTGCTCATCAAGTTTTGTAAAGAACTCTGGATCATGATGCTTTATATTTGCATCCCTAGGAGTATTTCTTGGAGTCATTGCATCCTTACTGTGGCCGGGAATACCCCCGTCTTTATCCAACAGAATATAAGCCATTTCAATGTTCACTGATGTGGTTATTCCAATATAATGTCTTCTTAATTGATTTTTCACCTTTTATATCATGTGAGCTTAAATAGGCATGTTTACATTTATATAGATGGGGTATATAAATTCCTAAAACTTGTATGGACAGTTTGTCCCCCAAATTAAATACCAAACAATAAGTTGCTTTCCAGGGTATGAACTATAATTACAGAGTATGAGGGTAAATATCTATTGGCTTAAGTGGATTTTTATACATTGTTATTAAAGATAGGGACGATTTCTATGTAATATATTCATGTGACCCTTTAATACATGATTACCAATCTTTTTAGATAACAGTTACCCCAGATGAGCCTTCATATTGCTGCATTTCAATATTGAATTTTTATTGGTACCCTGTAGCTTAACACAATTTAAGTTTAATATTATGTATGCAAGCAGATAGGCTCTATAAATCACCATGGTTTTAGCCGACTGTTTATCATTTTTAATACTTGATTTGACAAATCGAGATTTTATTGTAAGAATAATACAACAAATTTACGCTATGAATACATATTATTTAATTATAAAATGAGATCGGGATATCAGTCCATTCACAGAACTAATCACTGTGAGTTAAAAAGTAATCTACAGAATAATTAGAATAAAAACTGGCAAGTTTATTTAGAAGCTTTCTCTCTTTTATTATGTTTTGTGTGAAAAAACTATTTACTTTTGACATTTCTGTCACCACTATCAGTAATTATAATCAAGAACCAAAAATAAACTTTATAATGGAATAAAAAATCTTATTGATCTTTTCCATGCAATTATTATTCTTTACCATTGAATATAAAGGTTGTATTTTTGGTTTAATGTCAGTAAAACTGGTACAGTATTACTATTTATTCTCACATACAAAGCAAAAATAAAGGCCAAATAACTGATTTTAAGATTTTTTAAAGTTGAAAAATGACATAGATGTGGCATGGTCATTAAAAGTTAAACTAAATTAGGTATGTTTTAAATTATTTAAATTTTTTCCTCAAAACATTTTCTGTTTAAAGAAATTCCACTTAAGGATATCTATATCAAACCATAATTACAATATGTGTTAGTATTTACTTTGTATGAAAGGAGGTGTAACTATTTTTATGTAAAATTCGATTTAAAAGGATGGGTGAGAAAAAGACATAATTCAGAAGAAATTATCTATTTTTGCAACTGAAAAATCTTCATTTTGACTTAAAAAAAGGGGAGGGGAATTGTTTTCACAAAAGTAAAAACATAAACAGTAGAATTGAGTATTTTCTCACCAAAAATTTTCTTTTAAGCACTGATTTATGGAATTTGTCAGAGACATAGCTGATATAAAAAGTTAACCTATGTATTAATTTTCATAAAAATCTGACAAGAATTGTACACATGAGAGTGCGAACAATGCATTTTTCAATATAATTAATATTTCCAAGGGGCATAACTCTTTTAAAAATTGTTGATCAGCAATGACTTTCAAACTTGTCCGAGACAATACTGATATAAACCTATGATATAAGTTTTATTATAATCTGGCAAGAATTGTACATGTGAGAGCGCTAACAAGACCAGACATACAGACGGACGTACACCCAGTACTTCTATGTCCCCAAAACTGCAGAAGATGTAGTCTGATAAGTTATTTCTCCCTTTTCTTCCTAAAACAGCAGATTATTGCAGGAAAGACCATTTTGAATCATATTTTAACAAGAAGATTTTCTTAGCTCTGACTGCTGCATGACTAAGCACTCTGAATGTGCTATGGTGCTGAATGAGGCTCTTCATTGGATTTACAGAATAGAAAAAAAACAAACAAAAAATATGAATAATAGAGAAAAATGGGCAAAAAGTATACTATATATGATGTCCTGAGGGAGAAAACTGTAAAAATGAATACCATAACAGTATGGAAAAAAACGTAGGAGTTTTGGCTCTGATTAGGTGGTTTATCCTTCTCCCCAAGAGCTGTTATTCCTCCAGTTTGGTAAAAATTTGAAAATATGATTAAAAAGATATCAACAAAGCACTATTATTTTGCCTTAATGTCAAATATTTATAGCTGCTGTGGCCTTGGCCTTTAACCTTGGGACCTTACAAAATTACAAAGCCTTCCATTTTCCAATTAGCATTTGTAGGCAGCTTAGCTGGAAAGAGGAATTGATAAAGAAAAGAAAGTTGTCTTATGCAAACATGACCAATTATGGTTTGCTGCCAGGTTTTTTTTTATACAACTGTGATAGGAGGTCAATGTCTTGCATGTATGGCCTAATATTGTTTTTTGTTAAGTTTTTTATACCTGGCAATATCCCCAATATCTGCCATCTGGGCATTAATGACAGCTCTGTAGGTTAAGCACTTGAGAACTGCCACCAATATCCAGTTAAAAGCATTAGAAAATAATTCTCTAACAGAGTGTAGTAAAATAAATTATCAAAAGAGATGTCACAAAACTTTTTACATTACATGTCTATTAAAATGTTTCTGATTAATTTGTGCTGGAATCAAAGAGATTCATCCAAATAACTTTTCTGTTTTATATGTAAGCTATGTGTGACATGCAATTAAATGAAAAAATCCTCATTTTGCTTAATCTAATACACAGCAATTTAAGATGCTTTCTGGCAGTTCAATATTTTCAACGGAATTTTAAGTATAATGATAGATTACAATTCTTGAGGTAAATACATAAATGAAGTTCATCCCCTAGATTAAAACAATTTGAAGGTGTTTATGAAATAAATGTTTATGTTTACTTTCAATTTCTGTCAATGCCTTTTCATAATTCTCAACCTTGAAAAGCATTAAGAAAAAATCTCAGGCAGACATAATTTGTTATGTTTAGAATTGTTCACCTTTTCCTTTTTGTATTTTAAAATCTGAACTTTCAAATATTCAGACCATGTTTATTGATAACTGAATCAGCTTTGGGTTTTTTAACAACTGGAAGCTTCAGTCGAGTGTAGACACATTTTATTTGCAAAATATCACAAAAGGATTAGACACAAGATATTGTCCCACTCAGATCGTCTTCTCCTAAGCTTCCGTTTAGTTGAAAGAACGAAATGATGTACCGGTAATTGATTATATATATAATTTCCCCTAACTTCTTACTGCTCTTTCCAATTTCTACACATATTTCATTCTGAAGTGCCCTTTAGATATATAAGAACAGTCTACTAGCTATGAATTAAAACTACTCATTTTTATTCTTATTTATGTTGTTTTTTATTTATTATTGCAAGCTTTTTCTATGTTGGTTCTAAATGAAATAAGTATTAGTATCAATGTAGTACCTTAAAGTAAGTTTGATCTTAAATATACCATTGATACAAGTGTGGACACAGATCAGTGTGGATAGTATGTTTGGATGTTTGACAGTGTTTTCTGACAAAAAGAGTTCTCCGGTTTTTCCCCATAGGGTTCTATGTTGAACTGTTGTGCACAGTGACAGCCAACCTATACCAAACACTGAAAATAACAGTGTCTTTTATTTAATATTGAGTTTTAATGTTCAAGACTGTCATGGAGGAGACACTACTTTAAATCAGTGCTGACCTTTCATAGATTTTATTTAGCTAGACATTGCTTTTAATATCAAATCTAATTATTGGCCAACGTACTATAAGTGCTTCGTGTATATAAAAAATTGAAAACAACACGTAATATGTACATTCCTGTAAATAAATTTTGTGCATGTGCAACATAACGTTGGAGGATTTCCTTTCAACATTTTAACTTTGAAATTACTTCAATGTGAATATATTAACATTTTTAATAAACAGCTGCGCCATGAGCGCATGATACGCCCGTCGCGTTTTCAAAGAATAAAGTTCAATAACTTCTCAATGTCATATCAGAAATTTATAAAAAACTAAAGGGAGGTTATCTTAATAGATATAAATCAGTCGACAAAGTTTAATGAAAACTGCTAAAAGCATTTTTGAGTTATTGTCCGAAAACTGGAAAATCCCCCTTTTTTTAATGAATAAAACCCCACATCTCGGAAACGTAAAATCTAAAATTTATAAAAATCAAAAGGGAGCTCATGTCAATAGCCATAAACAATTCACCAAAGTTTAATGAAAACTGCTAAAAGCATTTTTGAGTTATTGTCCGAAAACTGGAAAATCCCCCTTTTTTTAATGAATAAAACCCCACATCTCGGAAACGTAAAATCTAAAATTTATAAAAATCAAAAGGGAGCTCATGTCAATAGCTATAAACAATTCACCAAAGTTTCTTGCACATTGCTGAAAGAGTTTGTGAGTTATTGTCTGAAAACTGGAAAATCCCCCCTTTTTTAATGAATAAAACCCCAAAACTTGGAAACGTAAAATCTAAAATTTATAAAAATCAAAAGGGAGCTCATGTCAATAGCTATAAACAATTCACCAAAGTTTCTTGCACATTGCTGAAAGAGTTTGTGAGTTATTGTCTGAAAACTGGAAAATCCCCCCTTTTTTAATGAATAAAACCCCAAAACTTGGAAACGTAAAATCTAAAATTTATAAAAATCAAAAGGGAGCTCATGTCAATAGCTATAAACAATTCACCAAAGTTTCTTGCACATTGCTGAAAGAGTTTGTGAGTTATTGTCTGAAAACTGGAAAATCCCCCCTTTTTTAATGAATAAAACCCCAAAACTCGGAAACGTAAAATCTAAAATTTATAAATAACGAAAGGGAGCTCACGTCAATAGATATTAACAATTCACCAAAGTTTCATGCTAATTGGTTAAAGCGTTTTTGAGTTAATGTCTGACATGTTGACGACGGACGGACAGAGGTATGCCATAATACGTCCCTTAAACGAGCGTATAAAAATGATCCATTTAGGGAACACAGCAACAAAATGTAGCTGAGTGTGCTCCAACGCTGGAGAGATTTACGTAAAGAAGCGGAAGATTGGAAGGATTGCCAAATGATTCCGATAAAATAAGTTCCAAAATTTGTACCATTGATATCATTATCTTAATTAATTTTTTTCATATAAGATGTATGTATCTTTACAGGAATGTCTTGGGT